AATATTTTCTGTTACTGTGCATTATCAGAAATCTTTTTCCTTTCAGGTACTTCCACACTGTGATCCCATCATACTTTTACTTTCCCCAACATAAATGAAATAATACCTCTGTAGTGTCTCATGATGAGGCAGGTTTCTCTGACCTTGTATATTCTGTTTCACAAATCTTCTCGTTTGCCAAATGTCCTGTGTAAAAGGGAGCGGCAGCGCAGGACAGAGGGTTTGGTCTCGCTTCTGTCTTGGAATGTTGTACACAGAAACCAAAAGCTGTTAATAATTGGTGCTCACTTTCTTTCACTCTGTGTTACTTTGTATTGCTCACTGACTTGTATAAATAAATAAATCCGAGATTTTTCCCCAATTTGATTTTATTTCAGAAGCATACAGTTTATATTATCCAATTGCTTTAATGAGTTAAACAAAACCCAGCAAAGCAACAGCACAGGTCAATTGTCATGTATTTGTTTGCTGACCATATTAGGTATGATGAGGCATATGTGTAAATGACTTTTTTTTAGCTGTGTGTATTTTTCTGTAACAAATGTCAGATAATGAGATGAAAACATTATTTTGAACTTTCTATTTAGTCTGCTAATTTTGAATTTGCCAAACATACTTGTGTCGTTGGGTTAGTGGTGCTTCTGAAAGTGCCACAGATGCCAAACCATGATAAAATCCACCCTATCTTGTTAATGAACACACAAACAGTTGTTGCCCATCTGCTGCCTCTGTCTGAAAGGTTAGGAAGCCCTTCCTTCTTGATCACAAAGGACATAATTATTGTCTGTAGAGGAGTCAAGTACAAAGACAGTTCATCCAGTCTGACCGCTGCTACACTGCAGGCCACCAAAGATTAACAGTTGCTTCTCCTTTGATTAGGTTAGGTAATAACAGTTACTTTAGTTAATAATTGGATGGATTCCCAGGCCATGTAATTCAGGTTTAGGCTGTCATTTTTTGTTGGCATGTAGCTGAGCTGTATTATTGGAACGGAGCCTGTAATCCTATTAGTCAGTTGTCACTCAAGCCGTAGGAGAGGAGAGAAGGGGAATTCAAATCCATTAAGGTGTTGTAACAGGCAGGTAAGTAAGTCAGCTGTGCTAGCCCAGTGTGCAGGGAGCTTTCTTGATTTTTTTGTCATTTTTTTTTTAAAGGATTAATTTTAAGTTTCTTAGAAAATTTAGTTGATAATTAATCCATAAAATGGTTACTTGATTTGTTTAATTTCTTTTTTTTTCTGTTTACTTTGCCACGTGTGCATTAGTGTACATGCACACTCTCTGCTGAAGTTACTTGCTTCATGCACTGTTCTGCTCAAATTAGTTACTGTGTGCTCTAAATGACAAGTTTATAATGGTCTAAAGATTAAGAATACATACTTAATATCACATCCACTGTGTTGGCTTTCCTCCTGTACAAACAAAACCACTGTATTTCACAGTGATAAAGACTTGAGAGGGATAAAGAAAACGTGATTTATTTTTTTTCTTGTATTGGTTTTGAGTGCTAGCTACATGAGCTGTTCTGAAGATTGTGTCTCTGTTGCTGTTTTTGTAATGGTTAAGACATAGCTGGATGGCATCCCCAAGGTTTTTGTGCTTCCTCCTCTCTCTGTTAAGAAATGTATGGATGACAGTAACAATTTTTCGCTACATGTTCATTTGTCCTTCCTCTCCTATGTCTCGATAACTTCAGAGTTTTGAAATCCTTTTGTACTTAGAAATCAAATTGTTTAAAAAAGTTATTTGAAGTAGTTTTGAATTTCTGAAAATATATAGGAGGAAGTAAAAAAAACAGTTGTATGTAGTTTCTTTTGTTCAGCAGACATGATTCCCATTATATCGATTGCCTTTGCAGAATAGCCTTTCCAGTCTAAATAGGCAGCCACTCAGAGAACAGCTTCTGTAGTGAAACTGTCAACAGGTTTCATAAACATCTAGTGAAGTAATTTGGGAGACTCAGAAGTTTGGAGGATTCCTTCAAGCAGCAAAAGCATGCCATACTGGTTTATGCTCTTTCCAAACAGGGATTATAGTATCTACTCCCTATAGGATCTGTCATTTTTCATACTCGCGTGGTGCCTGATGTGCCGAGTGCCTTGAGTGCTACCAGGGTAAAAGTTGTAGCTACCGGAATGGGTCATTCATTCTGACATGGGTTCAAATGGGGACCAATTTAAATAAGAATATTATGTGAGCAAGGTTTTGAATAACTTATATATTTCAGTCTACTTCTTTTGAACGTTTGTTTTAATATATATCAACTAATGTAAAGCTTTAGCACTACAAAACATTAAGTGAGTTTGGATCATATTTTGAAGAATATGGGTCAATTTTGGAAAGAAAGACAAACTGGATAAGGTAGCCTGCTCCCATATGTTTATGCTTTAAGAAAGATTTCTTCAGATGAATACTTAAATACTTGAAAATTTGATAGTTGCCTCAAGTAGGAATTAATTCAGATATGCTTTAAAATAATCTGATATTATTTTGCTGCTGTATTTCGGAGGTAGAATGGTGGTAGTTTTCAACACTGGGGAGATTTAATACTGTTTATTCCTCATACGCAGCTCATCTTCCTACCTGAGGTCTCGTGTTGTGGCTAGCTGAAGAAACTGCCTGTGCACAATTCCTTTTTTCACTGGTTCCTCTGGTACCACAGTCATGTAGTATTCACGCTGAAAACATCAGTAATGTAATACTCAAGTGACGCTTCTGCTCCTTTGTGGATGGTGCACGTGTTCCTTCAGTTCCCATGACCCCCACTGACCCAAGGTCAAGCTCAAGGAGCTATGCCTGAACCTGGGACTCTGATAGCAGGGCACTTGTCTGGTGACCAAGGTCATTCACAAGCCCTGTATACCAGCAATTACTTTGGTGATAAACGTTGCCTTTCAATAAATGGGTTAAAAGCTCTTGGAGTTCTCTGTCTTAAAAGAATCATTGGAGATAAATATATTAAATATCACACCAAAAGCAGTGTATTCCTAATCCCTAAGTGGCAGTTTTACAGACCTTTGTAAGCCCAGTGAACAAATACTGCGCTCGCGTATCTTTCCCACCTTTGCTGCTGAGATGTTTCTGCCTTTTGTTTAAGGTTTTCCCCCTCTCTCTTCCATGCATGTAGTTAGGGATTTATTTGCCTGATGACTAAGCATCAAAGTGCTGATTAATTTTTGTGAGTAATCTGGAGAGGAGAATAATAGGAGATAAAGCTAAATCATATAAAACTAGGAGAGATTACAAACCCGCTTCTGCTTGATAGAAAACTGTAGTAGTAAAAGAAGTTATTTAAAATGTAAACTTGTATTTTGCAAAGTATATTTGCATTTTAGCAAAATATTAGACAAAAGTGAAACAGGAACTCTGAAAAAGTCAGTCTATAAAAGAAGTGATGCAAGAAAGAAGTGATGCCCCAGATTGAAGTAGAAGGAGAGCATGTAAGAAATCAAACCTCTTCAAAAGGTTAATGTTCTTTTTAAATAAATATATTAAGATCTCTCAGAAGAGAGAGACAATATAGCTGCTTTCAGTGTGGCTCTGGTGACTGGTGACTGATTTGGAGAGGGAAGAGTTCCTTTCTGGACACTTCATTACTAGGTATTTGTGGAGAAAAGAGCAGTTCCAGGGAAAAAAAAAGACACGAAAAGTTTGCATGAAAAAAAAGAAGAAAAGGATGGGTTTAGCATTAATGAACTTACAGAGCTGAGAAACAAGCTAAGCAGTAAAATGTGACAGTGTACAATTCCAAGAATGGAGTAATTGCTAAGGGGGAAAACAAAACAAGTGCCATAAAACAGGATATAACTCAGAGTAATGGGATGAAATAGAGAAAGGGCATATTTGGTCTAAATGACAGGAAAGACTTCGCCACGAGAGCTAATAGGTTGTGGCATAATCTCCCATGAGAAATAGGGAAAGTGACAAAATTAAGATGAATAAATACAAACAGGCAATAAAGATACACAAAATTAGCAACTGACAAGTAGAGAAGAAAAACATTTTATGTGCTTTATTTTAAACAGTAGAAGATAAAACCAATTTTGTATGAAAGGAAAAGAGCATGAATAATTTCTAAAATCCTGGACCTGCTCCAGGAAAAAGTCAGTCATTTGCAAATTGTAGGAATAATGATAGTATGGTATGTAAGTGTAGAATTCTGCTAAGTGGAAGTTCAAAGAGGACATCTAGAATAAAGAAAAGCTAATGTAAAAAGCCAGGAACACACACAAAACCAATTTCAAGTTAATCTTTCCATTTGTAACCAGCAACATAATATAACGAATGCAAAACAAGCTGAATGTGAATGTCATAACCTCAAAGCTAAAAATTTTCATTCATTCTGCTGCGTTTTGAATAAGCTGCAAGCAGTAAATTAGACAAAGAACCTGAAGGGGTAATAAGTTGGAGTTGCCAAAGAGATAAACTACACCAAACACCTAGGTGGCATTTTCAAACTTTACCTCTATAGTTTCCCATAACTGAAACACTACTAAAAATCATATTAGGATTTTTAACCTGATTCTTAAGCTCCAAGTAATTAATTTGAGAAGTCAGAAAATCTAACCAACTTGTATCCTCAACAGCATCTGTCAGGCAACACTTCTATCTTCCTAAAAATAAGGATAAAATAAGACATCTGACCAGTGATGCTCTTAGGCTTTCTTCTAGATCAGCGACTTAACCTACGGGGTCCACATTCTGTGAAATGTCTGATTTTCAGGTATCATCATTGTAATGATGGTACTCATGTTTTAAAGTGATCTACATAAGCTGTTATAGGCATACAATGAACAAATCAGGGAACAAGCATAGAGGTTGTCTCCTTTTAGAGAAATTAGTTAAAAAGAGCTTGTTCCCCGATTTGTTCAACATGAGAAATACATGCATATAAGGATATTCTATACTGATGAAACTCTGGACAGTTGTCTATGAAGCATCTCTTTATGTAGGAATTTCTTAAATTTCTGTTGGTTTTTTTCTGTGTTTGTGTTTGTCTAGAACACAGCAGATCAAATAGCATTTCGGGCTGCAGGAGGGCTGACTGCCCTTGAAAATGTTCTTCAAGCAGTGACATCTCCCACCAATCTGAATGTGATTTCACGGGTTCCTTTTAAGTAAGTATAATCAGTCCTTCATTTTCCACTTAGAATCACTACAATATTTATTTCACATCTACTGCTTCACTGCTTCTTCTCATAGTCCAGTGTTGAACATTTTAAAAAAAAAATATGCTGTACTCTATGCTGTCATGGAAGGTGAAAGACATTTCCCCTCAACCTCTGGTTTTCTGACTTGGTGGTTTTATTTCTGGCTATGATATATTTGAGTGGTGGCATCCCTTTGTACAAAATAAGAAAAGAGAAAACTGTATTAAACAGAAGAGGAGGTACTTTTGAAGTTAGTCTGTAAAGATCTCTACTGGGAACTGGGGGAATATTTTAAAAGGTTGTAATTCACTGGAGCCTGACTGCTTTTAAAATAAAATAGTTGTAAGATACTGCTAACTGAAAGGGCTTCCACAAACAGGTAAAGCAAAATTCTTGTGGTTTAGAGGAATTCCTCTTTATAGCATGTAAGAATAGAAGGGCTTAAATGTCTAAGCCCCCCAAAAAGATGGTGACTAAACAGAATGCCTGCAAAAACTGGTAAGTTGAAAGCATGCTTTTTTCCCTAATCTCTACCTGTAATTTTTAGCTATTCAAAGACACATACGTGCTTTCAGAGCAGAGCTAGGCACAGTTCTAGTACAGGAGGAACCAAGCCCAGGAATATACAGTTGTGTACCATGGTCATCATTTGTTTGTAGATGTATTTTCATGTTGTAATTCAAATTTAAGCACTACATTGTGTGGGTTTGGATTAAAACTGTCCATTAGTATCTTATAGAACGGGTATGAAGTGCTGGGAAAGAACACCAAGGTCCTATAGTGAACAGCTCAGCAGCAGCCTTTGGACTCGTTAATTTGCCGAGGCTCTAATTTTGAGTTATCCTCATCAGTGTGGGATAAACTTTGCAAGGGAAAGGGCTGCACTGTGTGGCCATGTAAAGCTTAGCTTAAATTTAGCTTTAAATTCTTAGAATGTGCATCTTCTTTATGTCTTTGATTTTTATTCTTTCATTTTAGGAACAGTCTTACTTAGGCAACCTTTGAGAATATTGTGTTTACGTTGCTGAAAACATTTTGTGTGTGGTTTGTTAGACAGTATGATGTTGTACTAGTTCTCAAAGGAACTTATGTGCTGGTAAATAAAGCCCCATCTCAGCTAGGTTTGCATAACAGAAAAAGCATCCAAAGAGATTTATCAGAGATTCTTCTCTCTGTGACAGTTACTACCTATCTCATACCTATTTCAGACCAGTATAATTGGTTTCTCAGATTCCTGAGCCTATTTATGACAGAATTATAAAAAGAGTTTTTAAACCTTTGAAAAATTATTTAAACATTGTTTTATTAACACAAGTTTTCAACTATCTGTACTTCCAAAAGAAATACCAAGACAGAAAGAGATTAATATAAACTATTCTGACAGCTTGCTCCGCTACTGAAATACAGCATTTCATTCAACTTCACAGCAAACTGCAGACTCCAGTATATAGACATCTGAAAGAATTGTAGTTCGGAAGTTATACATCAGGTTGCACGTAATTTAGCACAGGATCTTGCTTTCTAAAGCGAATCGTGTTAATGTGTAATAGTGTGGTCTCACTGGAAGTATATTAGACAAATTCTTCAAATGTGTTGCCTTAAATACAGAATGTTTGAGAGTTTCAAAACCAAAGGGTAATCATAGAATATATTTAGTTCTTTAAATGAGGAAGAAAATTTATATCACATTTCTCCTCATTTAATTTTTGAAATGATCTTGAAGTTATTTTTCTTTCTTTTGTGCAATATAATTTACATCCTGACTTCTTAAACTTTGAATCTAGCGAAGCAGCAGTTTTCTTTACTTAAAGACAAAGAAAATCCCTGTGGAAAGATGTTGAATTAAGATGTTTTCATTAATTGCCCTCCAGTCTTCCCCTAGCCAAATACGCTTTGCTAAAGGACACTACTGTATTAAGATTGTTTGTGTGCTCTTGCAATGTTTAACCATTTGTACTCATCTTCAGCTGTTGGTTTGTGATGAGGATAAGCTGTTTACAAGTAGGTGAGGAGATTACATGAGCTATTATCTACATCTCTCTTTCTCCAAAATCCTGGCAGTATGGTGCAGCTCAGAACTTTAATCCCATGTCTACAAGATAAAGCTTTATTATCAAAAGATTTAACAATATGCCTGTTGTTTTGTATTACTGGCCAGATTGATAGTTAGACCAGCAGGACAGCAAATGCTGTGAAGAAGATGTGACATTTATGAGACAGATGATACATTTGGTGTTAGGGAAGTTTTTCTCCCCTTCAAATAAATCAATGAAAAAGGAAAAGAGAAAGCAGTGGATTATGGTAGGCTTTATTATTGGTGTTAACATACAAATTAGTGTCCAGCCGTGTTATTTCTTGAAGTAGCAGTTTGTAATTTTCCTGAATTTGTTCAGTTTGCCACAAAATAAGACATATTCATCATAATTTCAAGAGGTTTCAGAGTCTTATGGTATTTTTCTTATGCTTCTACTGAAAAGCAAATGTGAGCTGCACAGCAAAACAGTTTAATGACTTAAGATCAAGAGCAGAAGATGACTCTCATCCCCTATGTCGCCTGGCATATTTGCTATGGGCAACTCATTGAGCCCATTTTTGCCATGACAAGTTACTGGCCTTGAAAACTGTAACAAATCTGCTAACAAATGAAGTTTGTAGGGTTTGTTTAATTAACGTTTGTGAAATACTTTGAGTTCCTTGGGTGACCAGCATTTTTAAACAGAAATTGGCAGTAGTTGTGT